GATGAATATAAGTCTAGTTGAAAATAGTATAAAAAATATTTGTTAAACTTGTTGCTCTCACATTTGGGGCAGGGAGGGGGACAAAATTTTGGGGCTTTTTAGTTTCCAAGCTCCAATCATCGCAATTTTTTGCAAAGCATCTTTATTTGACATAAGTATAAACATATAAATATTTGAAGTTTTCTCCATTTATGAAAGTTAGCTATCTCAAAGACCAAAAAATGCTTTTGGCGCCTCTGGTTACATAAATGCTTCTTCTATTCTTTATAGCGTCAAGCTTTATTTCTTTGAAAAGGGAAACTGGTGTTCTTAGATTTGTGACATAATTCGAACACAGTGCTTTTATATTACATAAAGTCTCATTAGTTGTACTTTAGATTGTCCAAGGTATAATACACTACCATATTCTAACTAGCTCAGTATAAGTTTTTTAAGTTACTGTTTTCTAACTTTTACATTGTATAGTTATAAGGATAACACGTTAGTTCAAAATAAATTATAGTAACAAAATAAAACATGATTAAGTTATTTAAAATCTTTTTTTAGATGAAAAATTCTATATTGTACATTCAAAGTTTTATTGTTTTTACTGAAAACTAAACTTGATTAAAGTAATTGTCTACAAGGTAAGTAAATCACTTTTCTGAAATAATGGATGTTTTTTGTATAATAATTGATGTAGTTGTTTGCAACAAAATGTTTATAATGTAATGTAATTATAATTTCAGCAAACATATCAGGCTTTTATGAGGTTATCCATGTAGTATGTCACGTTAAATTTAACTTTTAAAGAGAAATAGGAGATTAATGGCTTTCTTGCGCAGAGATTTTTTAGTAATAAAGCGCTTTATGTTGAATGAAATCTCTGCACAAGGGACCAAATGATCTCCTACTTTTATTTAAAAGTTAGATTTAGCGTGACGTACTTAATGGATGACCCCTATGAAAATTTATATAATAAAAAAAGTAGCTCAAAGAAAATACTTTTGAGTCTACAGATATTTTCTGTGGTTTGCCTTTTCTTTATTATAAGTATAAAATGTATATGAAGTAATATAAACTACAAAGTAACTAACAATTTTTTTGAGTTCTCTGCAAGATTTATACTTTCAAAGTATTATTTTGCAACTTTTTTTTTTCTTTTTTTTTCACTGCATAGCTAGAGGATTTTGTTTTTGTAGCTCAAATTTGGACTTGTTCGAGGATAGCAATGTTGGACTTTAAATGCAGCAACCATTTTAGGTTTTTATTGAGGCTTGTACAGCAAACTCATTGTAGGGCCAAATGTAAATGAGATACAGTGTGTAAATGAGATACAGTGCTATAAATGAAAACTGCGATTGCGAAATGTTTTTTTGAATCGCCCTAGCATTTAATTCGCAATTGATGCGGCTAACTATACATGCGGTAACTATACTTGTGGTCTGATGTTAAGGTCATTGGAGACTATCACAAGTTCTCGCTCGATTACAGTCTTTTTGAGTGGACAACACGAGCCGTCGACGTTACCCATTGTGTATTCGTGTGTCAACTTGCTTTATGCACGGCATACATGCATTACTTTGTATTTCTTAATTTTGAAATGCATAAGCAAATATGAGACCATTCCACTGCTCTGTTAATATCAGCTTGGAGAGTGACGCTGTAAGACTCATTTTTAATTAAGCCAATAGTTTTACTGTTGCCAGCATATACTTTTATTTGATAAGTGATGTTGTCCTGCAGATCATTATTAATGAAAATTACGAAAAACAAAGGGCCCAAGACCGAGCCTTGAGACACGTCACTAGTGACCGCTTGCCATTCAAATGTGGTGCTACTTGTTGACTTCGGTTGCTTAACCATTTGAGTTCCAGTCAACAAGCGGGCCTTGAATATCGTAAGCTCTTAACTTATGAAAAAAGCGTTTATGAGGCACTTTGTCAAACGCCTTTACGATGTCTGTGTATAACCCTGACTGCATGGTTGCAATGAATTGCTTCCGTCATGATGTCCCGAGTTTGTAACAAGTTTGAGACGCAACCTTTATAATAAACATAGCCATGCTGCTTTGGAGTAATTAAGTCATTAGCAGCACAGCATTCCGTTATGCTTGTTTGAGAATGATTTTACATCAATATACATGGAATAGATGTGAGCGAGATAGGCCGGTAGTTTGATGCATTTAGTTTATTACCCTTCTTTAAAATAAGCGGTACATTCATTTTTTTCCACAAGTCGGTAACAACACCAGTTGCAAACGAGCACTTGTATATAAGCGTTTGACAAAGGTAGTTGCATATTTACTAAGGTAAGCCATCATAACCGGTTGACTTTTTTTATCAAGGTGGTTAAAGCACTTTTGTACTATATTGATAGAAAAAATTGCTTAGTCAATGACACAAATTGCTTAGGTATGACTTTCAAAAGCTACCACTGAACCTTTGGGCTCCAAAATAAAAACCGATTGAAAATAGTAGTTTAACAATAAGCATATATTGCCAGTATTGGTAGTGATGTTGCTGTTAACTGTTTCTAGCTATGTAAAAGTGTTCTTGACGCTTTTTTTGCTTCGTATATGTGCATGTATGTAAATATATGGGCTGCTTTCAGGCTCTCTGGTGAGTTTCTCTTCGTAGTTGTGCGTTAAGCAATGTAATTCTTCGAAAAATTTTTGCGTATCGGAACCTGCATTAATGTACTCGGCGCAAGAGGCGCGTTTTGCCTTGACCCCTTAATAAGATCTAGTGTTACCGATTGATCCTAATTTTTAGTGAAAGGAGTAGTTGTTGATGAGGTGTGTATTTTGATGGCTTCATTATACATGATTACTAGGAGCTGGTAGTTATTGTTTGTATTTAGCCGAGTGAATTCTGTTTTCCAATCAACAGCTGCGAAGTGCGCGGACATTGCTGCGTAGTTTGCTCGGCTCTAAATAAGTTGAGCTCATAGCGGCAAAATAGGCAAGTTGTCAAGGCCTATAACAGGGAGTTGACCTTCAGTGAAGCAGCGTGCTTGGCTGATTGAATTTGCCATATAGTACCATTGCCGAGCAGTTTACGTTAGGTAGCATCTGCTGAGCGGCTGTGATCGATGTGATGCACTGAATTAGAACCTGATCATTAAGGTTGTGAAGACGATATAAGCCGCCAAATAAAAACGATTCTTTATCAATTTTTATTTTTTGTCAGATTTACTCAATTAATCTTAAGTTGAGCTAAATATAATTAAGTTCGTTGACTATGATATCGTTTTTTGTGTAAATGGCAATTCCGCCGCCTATATTGTTTTTGTATTAGCGATGTGGTTGATAGCCGGGTATGGCAACGTCTGATAAATCTGTAAACAGTGTTTCCACAAAAATATTACGTGTAGGGAACTAGATTTAGGCAGAGCAGATAGTCTGTCCGACAAGTCTTGGCATTCGTCATTATTGAGTGAGCATGGGTTGTTTGCCTAGTAGATGGCTAGTGAAACGGCGGAGGCGTTGAGCTGGATTGGTTAAATTTTTACTTTAGTTATTGGTCTAGGATGTCTAGTTGGCAGTGGAGCTTTCTGAGTTAAGAGCAACTTGCGTTGTCAGCCAGGGTTCTGGCTGACAACGCAAATACATAGCACTGATTAGACGTTATAATGCAAATACATAACACTAATTAGACGTTGATTTGATAACATTGATGCAACTGATGCGACCTGCCCTTCGATATATATTATTCCGAAACAATATCTATCAATGTTGAATTAATACATCACTAAAACTGATTTTGTCACCCTTTAAATTAAAGAAAAATTAAAATTATAGAAAATAAGCATAGTTTTCATAAAATGTGTTGCAACTAGCCCGGTCTCCCCTATTTTTATCTAAGGATTGATTCTTATTTTGGTATTAAAACACATTAGCTTTATATAATCTACCCATACTAAGGGGTTTTCTTTTAAATGCTTCTATTTCATTTTCTTTTTCAAGCCTGATATGGTTTTAGCTATTTTTAATAACCTTGAGTTCTTTTTCATCAGTAAACTATTAGTTTGTTTTACATATAAATTTATTTGTTGTCATGGATGGGTTAAGTTTTGTTGTCATAGATGGCTAAATAACGCTGTTCTCTTATTGAGATATTCAAACTTGACGTTTTTAAATGATCTTTTATAAACAGGGTTTAAATTGAGTTATTTTTTTATTGCTGCAACATGATGATGATTATATCTGACTTTTTATTTAATTTGTGCTCAAAGCATACTAGATTACGATCGCTGACAATTGTATCGAGGCACGTGAATCAGGTATCAGATGTTCTGTTGGGTTATGTATATTGTATCTTCACTCCGGCCACCTAAAGGAAACATGATATTGATTTATCTAGATTACATTTGCATTATTAAGATCTGCATCAAATTAGCCCATTATAACTAGTTTTTATTTTATTTTATTAACTCATTAAAAGTTAACTACCATTGATTTTCGACACTTCGTTAAGCGAATAGCCTATTTGTTAAGCGAATAGCACTATTCGTTACTTTAAAACCAATCTTTTTAAAAAAATTTAACATGTATAATTCACATTTATTACTTTTTCAAACAATAAATTATTAAATTATCAAAATAATAAAAATTAAATTATAGATAAATATCATTATTGAAATTAAAACTATTTATTTTATTTTATTTACAAAGCAGGATTTTTCGACATTTAGAACTACAAATTTGAAATTTAAATTTAATTTTGATTTTTTTTTTTTTTTTTAAAAATGTATTTTAGTAAAGTGTTTAATGAAGCGATTTGATAAACGCTCAAACTCGGTCAGGCGTAGCATCTTTTACAAATTTGATTGGATAGTTACTGTGAACTCATTTATGTTGCTTCATTTAATTTACAAACTATATATCATCATTGTTACTTAGTTTTATTCGTAACAGTATTTTAAACTCAACAGCAATTTAATAATTCCAGTTTGCAATATTACAAAAAAAATTTTTATACTTGTTTTGTACAATAGATTTAGTTATTTAATTTTTAAAAGTATTTCAATGATATATTTTCTAGACACGTTATAAAAATTACTATGGCAATGGCTGTTAGGGTAGTCATTTTATCATTTATGTTTGGTTCGGCATTAGCTGTAATGGAACTAAATGATAACAACTTTTTTGAATATGCTAAACGAAAAGAAGTACTTTTGGTGGATTTCTATACTCCATGGTAAAATTAGTATTTATGGTATGATTATTTAGGTCAGTAGAATTAAATATGATATATGGATAAATGACTCAGAATTAAGTACAATTTGTTATATACATAGATTTGTTTGCTAAACCAATACCTTACTATTTTTTAAAAACTAAATATTATTAATTATTCAACATTAGGGAGCTGTGACGAATTTTTTAAGTTAAAAGCATATTTTAGAACCAATATATCAATATTTGCCTTGCGTACAACAAATCTTGAAGTTTTATCTGAAACGCTACAGGCATGTTTTTATCTACTTGTTTAGATATACCTTTCATATAACCTTGATATAAGTTTCCCGAATTTTCATATCCGTTGCAATAACTCATCAATAATAATCCTTATTTTTTGCAAAGAATACAAACACAACAAAAAGTGCACTTGCTTTCGCATTTACGTCTTTACTAAAAAATTTTTCAATTTACTCATTAGTGTCAAGTTTTCAGCCAACCAAATTTGAGATTCAATTTTTTGCTTTAATAAGTTAAACGGTTTACCTCACAATAAGAACCCACGCGTCACCAAACCAACCCCCTACATGCCAAGCCTCCTTATCTACTGTCTATTTTAGCACATGAAGCCTTTTTGACTTCTAGATTCATTTAGCGACTGCTAGATTCGTTTGGCTGATCAACAATCAATTAATTTCTTAAATGCATATGTTATTATATCAAGTTTTCTTCGGCTTTTAAAGAACTTATTAGACAAAATTCTTTTTATCAATGTCTCACAACGACCTAAATCATTTGAAATAATTAATTCTAGATCATTTTATTAACCTTTAAAAGATTTCAGAGAGTTTTTATATAAAATACTTACAGAATCTTCGTGGTGACTAAAAAAAAAAATAAAACTGCATTTCTGGCATATCATCTATGTAACAGACCTACTAAAATACAACCATTCATTTTAAATCCTTGTAATATTTAGTATAACTTTATTGAATAACTTTTTTTAGTTAACATTGTTAATTATTTACAAGAATTGAATGTAGTCAAAAAAAAAAAATTAAAAAAAAAAGTTAAATATATTCAATCCTTAATCATTTTTTTATATAACAATGAAAGAAATCAAAAAAGTGATGCAATGCGTTACACTAGGTACGTTTTTTTTATATAAATATGCTCGTAGCTAATTTTAATTGTGATATACCTGCATAAGTCTACTAATCACAATGATAAACACAACCTTTCAAACTAAATATATGTTATTTAGCTTTACGATTGTAAAGTGTTCTCTGTTAATCACTGTTTTCTTCCTCCGTAGTAAAGTTACTTCATATATTTGTAGCCATATGCAAGACATGCATGCACCAAACTTAACATAAATATATATATATATATACAACGCATATACATATACATAAACATTTAACTCACAGGTGTAAAGAATCAAAACGTCTTGCGCCAGAAATGCAATGGGCAGCTTTAGAATTGGGTGTTCAAAAATCAAAGAACCTAGCTCAGGTATTATTACTCATAGCACATTTCTAACACCTTATGTTATGCAACTTTAGGTGTAGCGACTGTAAGAGGTTAGCTCCAGAGTTCGAAGGTGCAGCAGCACAACTTCAGGATAGAAGCGCTGATTTGGTGAAGGTACAAGAATCATATTTATATTTATTAATGATTTAGGTTTAGAAAAATAGTTTTGAAATAAAAAATATTAATTAAAGCGCTATAGAAAAGAGTGCGCCCTTTGCCTCTCACAACCTTTAGTTGATCTGCATTGCACTAGAAACCTCTGTTGAACACACAAACTGTTATATTTTGAAGTAGTAGTAAAAAGTGATTTTAAATAGATATTTTTTATAAAGTAAATGAATATTATTTTAATATGTGAATTTGTTTTACAGGTTGATTGTGAAGGTGCGGGAAAAGGACTATGTCAGATGTACCAAATACGCAGTTGGCCACAGTTAAAGAATTTTCATTATGGAACATATACAGGGGATTACACTGGACCACAGAGTGCTGGTAACTTTGATTATTATTATAGGAGAATAGAGAACAAGACAACTTAAACTTTGAATAAAATTAATAGTTTTTTTTTTTTTTTTACAAATTCTTTGGAAAAGCAAAAATTAAATAAAAATTTATAGCAACAAGTACATACTTATTAATGATTTTATTATTTTCTATATTTTTATTTACATTGTAATAAAGTTTGATTTCGATTACTTTGAATATTGACTACTTATAGATTTAAAGTTGTTTTATCAAGCTTCAAAGCTATGATATGTTGCTATTAATATATGTCTGCCATTGTCCAGGTTTTTAAGAAGGAGAGCGCAGCGCTAAACTAATTAAAACTGAAATATTCATTGCGTTCTCCTACAGAAAAACCGGGACAATGACAGCTAATATTCATAAACTAAATATGAAAACCTTAATGCTGGTTAAAAAAAGTAAAACTTAGAGACGTAATTCCTGAAGCTACTCTTCATATTTTGCTACAGGCAGTTCAATGTTGGAATGGAAAACAACAGCGAACAACTTTTAACAATAATATATATATATATATATATATATATATATATATATATATATATATATATATATATATATATATATATATATATATATATATATATATATATATATATATATATATATATATATATATATATAGTAACATATTTTTTTAAAATAGCAGTCTAAAAACTCGCGATATGTATATACATACTGCTACAGCGATAGGTGGCTATAGTTAAATAGTTTGACAAGCTACAGATTTGTCGTTATTGACAAGCTACAGATTTGTCGATAGGTTGTAGCTAGCTACAATGCTACAATATGTAACAACCATATATCGTAGCAATATAGGTAGGTATTTAGCTGCGATATCTAAATAGCCACATTTCGTAATAAAATTGCAGTGTTTCAAGTTTAATTATTAAAGAATAAATATTAGACTCAATACTAAAAATCGAATTTTTAGTATTATTTAGCATTTTGGCTTTTAGTAAAGGCCAAAATGAATTATTAATGTGAGAAAAAAAAATCGCTTAAAATTGTTATTTGGTTAGCTAGTCCCCCACAGGGTATAATGAAGTTTTTATTTACTTTTTTTTTATCATAGTATCTTTTTATAAAAAAAAATTATTTTAAAAAAATGATAAAATGATCATATTATGCGGTATTGGTGTAGTGGTAAAACACTCGCTTCATAAACGAGTGGTTCAGAGTTCGATCCCCACCACGTCCCTGGTAGTACCGCGCTCAAATCGTTTTTCCGCGCAGCGGCCTTGTTCGTCAAGGTTTGTGTTTCGGAGTTATAGAGTTGAGAGAAGATTGTAACCACAAATAAGTAGCCTCCTCGTTTGTAGCGGCTTTCTTGGCCTTGAAGAGGTGAATTAAAATAAAAAAAAAATATTAACAAAAAAATATATAATGATAAAAATTGTACTCAATTTTATGTAATTTGCTAACTTTCCTACAAATAATTTATCATCTAAAATTTTTTAAAAACCACGGGCTCCAAGTGCGGCACAATGTTGTCATTTAACAAAAATGATTTAAGAAAAGAATGTAAAAACAATAAAAAAATTTTTCTCAAATTGGCCATACCATAATTTTTAAGCTAATTAAAAAGCATTTAATGCTTTTTTTTTATCATATCATTTACCCATGATAAAATCAATTGCATAAAATATTAAGAAATACATATTTGCTTTTAAGAATAATTTGTCATTGAGACTTTGCTTTGCGTTGAATAGATCCAACCAAAGTTTAATCAGTTTTTAAATAGGCACTGTATATTTATGGTGAGGTCTAATAAACACTTTATATATCTTGAGAGCCAAGTTTTCATCAATGAAAAAGAATGTCTTTTTGCTTCCAAGGAATTTATACAATTATTTATACAATTGTTCGAAAATATGTAAAATTAATAAATTAAACATTTGATTCGCAGTTTTATGCAAAAATAAAATATTCCAGTTGATTGATGCAGTAAAGTTTGATATTGAATTGTAATCACCTGCTGAAACTAAACAACTGAAATTCACTTTCAACGGTTTTGAAACTAAATTTCTTCAAGTGATACTAAAGCGGCCCTTAGTATTATTACCTAATATAGCATTAGGAAACAATTTTAAAATAAAATTACTGTTGTAAGTAAATAATAAGTCCAACATGTGGTTTGAGCAAACATAGGGTGTCTGGACGTAGGAAATGTGATATGTTAAAGTTACCGACAAGTGAAGCAGCCATTATAGGGCTTTTTAATAAGGCTATAAGCTAATTTGAAGGATTTAGCGTATATTATTTCAAATTAGCATCATTTGGTCTATGTATAACCTAGATGTGTTTATTGTTAACTTTTACAGGTTCCAAAACTTGTTTGAGAAAACTTTTATAGAACTAATTAACTTCATGAGAGATAAATGCATCAGTAATGAAGATAGCTACACTCCCACCTCAACGTCCGTCTTAGGAATAATCCTTTTAAAGTGAGTTATTGTTTTAATACAATAGCTTCACTATTGTACTTTGCTTTAAAACCTTACGACTTTACTTACCACTTTACTAAATTGTATATTTATGAGCTAATACAGTTTGTTTTAAATTTTTAGATATAATTAAATAAAAAGCTCACTATTTGATGTTTTAATCAAGATTATTATTAAAGCTAAAAAAATAGTCTGAAAAAGAGTTTTTAGCTCTTAGCTATATAACAATAGCAAAAATTACTTATTTTACTATGTTTATATACATGCATATAATATTTATTTTACTATGTTTATATACATGCATATAATATTTATTTTACTATGTTTATATACATGCTATATACATACTTATTTTACTATGTTTATATTCATGCATATAATATTTAAGAATAAGAACGTTTAAAAAAAAATTGTTAAACTTGGCTTGGGCCCCTAATAACTCTGGGCCCTTTTGCATATCAATAAATGATCATGAATAAACTATTCAACTGAACAAATGAAAAATTAATCAGCTTTTTAATGTTTCATTTGTAATACAGTATGGTTCCATTTTGTGAAATGGTTTGAAAATTTAAGAAAAATGATGGTACAAAATTATAACGTCATTTTAATTTTGTGCAACAAAATTTGATGATGCGTTTATCTTAATTTAAATTAATTATTAATACTTTTTTTATTGCAGTAATTCTGAATGACCTCAAATATTCAATTTGGCATACTTTCTGAATATTTTCTGAGATCAACAAGAGATATGTTCTTCCGAACAAGTACAATTGTCTTTTTCGATACATTGAAATTTTAATACTGTTTCCCTTATGCATAAGCACGTCTTGCTAAGATGTCCCAATTGTTTTCGATGGATTTTAAATCAGGTGAGAGCCATTCCAATAACTAAATTTTGTTGTTGGTGAACCATGAGATATTTGATTTTGTTTTGTGAATCGGCATTATCTTGCTGGAAAATAAAATTTGTTTCCAAATTTTTGTGAAATATCCGTCAAATGATCATCCATCAAATTTCCATATTTTTCAGCACTTAGTTTAGAAGTAATAAAGCCAACCGTTTTACGTGCGCACCCCAATTCATTATATCACTACTCTTCCATAGCTTTTCTTTTTGAAAATGTCATGGCAGTAATTAAAGCCATCCTGACCATCAAGATAGAAATTTTTTTCCTTCGATCACACAATTTTTTCGCCATTCATCTTTCAATGTCATATTATCCTTAGCCAATTAAAGACTAATACGTTTGGGTTTATGTAAGTTTTTTGCATATCTGTAAATGTCTGGCGTGTTAATAGCACGATTCATCCTCAATCTTGAGCATTTTAATTTCAAATCAGCGCCAATTTGTATTGCGGAGATTCTGTGGTTACTAGCGCCATGCACAATTCGTTGCAGTTGGCGAGCTGTTAGCATCGGTCTTCTACTATTTCAATGCTCTGTGCAATAATTCCTTGGATTATTTACAAAATGATTGATCAAACATGGTCTCAGCTTGCAAGCGAATGTCCTGCTCGATAAACGCAATGACCTGTAAGCTTCAATATTTTGTCTAGTTTTCAACGGAAAGTAGAATTCCTCTTGACATTCAATAAAATGTATTTGATTAAACAAATTTAATTTAAAAACGGAATTTAGTACTATTTATTATAAAGATTTTGGTGTAATTTAGATAAAGAGGTTAAAGTAATGCACCGTGGTTTTAAACGATTTTATAATTTGAATTAATTAAATTATAAATGAATTCAATTAAAGTATTTCGTTTATTTCAAAAAATGATCTACAAGCAGAATTTGATTAACAAACTTTGAAAGCTACTTTCAAAACTTCTATTCAGATGAGATTATAAATCAGCACAAGTATCAAAATGAATATAAAAAAAAAGATCGGGTTCACAACAAAACCTACTCCCTATATGATTACACTTGCCCTCACATTGCAAAACTGGGGCTGCAAAAACTTTTGAACTTGGCTGGGAAGTGGTACATTATTTGCTCTACTTGCTTCACTTAGCGTCAATAAATTATACTTATTTTGATCACCAGCGAACAGCTGGTACAATAAAATGTTTGCAACGAGGAGGCGCACCATCAGCACCTCTTAGTGACGTTAATAAGATGTCGTATAAACGTCTTACGGACATCTGTGCCCACTGGGGTTACTTCTTTTTTTCAAAGCCTAAAGTTTTAGGCTAACAACATTCTTTGATATTATATGCGTTGGTCACAAACAACAATGTTGCATATATATTTGAAGTGTACATATGGAATCAAAACAAGTTATTTAAAAAAGAATTTTTAAATAACTTGTTTTGAAAAAACACTACTTTTGTCATTCACTCAAGACTAAAGCGGATACCAAATCTCAAACATCTCTAAAGCCAGCACTCTAACCATTGCTCCATAGCTGCTCATTTCTTAACAATATAAATATATAGCAGTACTTTGTTGGTAATATTGGTTAATGTTAGTGTCATCATAGAAACGAAGCGATGTTTGTTGTTAGAAGATTAATTTAGTAAGCTAATAGCGTGATTTATTTAGAAAACTTTACTCACTCTTATTTTTGAATGTTTAAAACCAAAATTGTTGCTAAGTGAAAAACTAAGATTTAGGTTTTCTCCAAGTTGTTTGACTTAGTGTTTAACTATTTCATTGTTAATAATATTGGATATACATATACATACATATATTACATTGAAAAATTCTGAAAATCGTTGCACAGTTTGTAAAACTTTACCCCTATATTATCAATACCCAAAACTAGATTAAAATTTTCTTGTTTTGTTTTGTGAAAACAGAAAAACTAGATAAAGTAAAATAAAATTTTTATTCAACTTTCAATTTATTTTCCTCAGACTTATCAATTTAAAATATAAAATTTAATTTATTATTTTTAATTTAGAGGCAATTGCTTCATACATCAATACCGTTGAACAATCAAGCAGCAACTTTGTTCCTGGTTATTATCCAAACGTCGGCTACGCTATGGCACCAAAAGATAGCTTGGTTGAACCAGCACCTCCAGTAGTTGGGGCACTCAGCTGTGCAAGATGCAATATTGGCAAAGGAAGTAAGTTTTAAACAAAATAATATATAACCTATTAATCAATTATTTATTTAAATTAAAATTATTTTAAAATTATATTTATTTTTATGAAAAACTTGGTTTTGCCATAAATAAATATTTCTTTCCACAAAGTAGAAAGTGACTGCTGAGCACTTTTGTTACTAATAAATATTTTTTTGTTAATTATATTAATATATAATGTGATGCTACAACAATTTTTGTTTCAATAGTTTATACTTCTTTCACGTAATGTTTTTTTACAGTAGTGCTTATGCTATTATGGTAATGCAATGTTGTTACTATAATGTTGTTTTTGCTACTCTAACGCAATGTTTGTTACTATAATTTGTTGTTTCTAAAGATAAAGAGAGTTTATTCATTTGATATGGTATTTGTAACTATAATCTGCTGTTTGTAACTGATACATAGTGCTTTAGCGTCATGTATTGTGTTAGCGAAATTTGAAGTTTGTTTATATGACCCATATTTTAATTATAGCTAAATGCACTAAAGTTGTAAAGAAAGCTTGCGTCGAATTACAGTTGAGGGAAAAAGCAAAAAAAGAAGAAGCAAAACAAAATGACGATGATAAAAAAAGAAGTGTGTTAGTGAAAAAAGCTGATAATAAAAAGAAATCAAATAATTAGTAACACGAAGTTTTCGAATGTACATGTTCAGATTATTTTCAAGATACATTAGTATCTAATAAACATGCATATATATATATATAAATATAAATAGTAAATTAAAATAATTTTTTTTTTTAATCATGTATAGTAAAATTTATTTAAACAACATCTGATATCATCAGGCACTATTGGAAAAATAAGGTTTGCTTTTAAAAAAAAATCAATTACTAGGAAAGACAACCTTAGCAGCAGTCCCTTGGACACAGGTCAAATTAACAGACGACTGAGGTAAAGTCGCACTGTAATAAAACAGTATTATTATTTTGTTTTAAAAGTCTCAAATTTAAAAATAAAAATTTAAAATTATTAACTCACATTTCAAATGATTTTGCAAATTTTTAATTTTAGACTAAAATTTTTGAAATAAATGAACATTTAAAACTTTATCAAAAAGATTTTTGGATAAAGATGAAACTTAAGACAAGAGAGCTAAGTTACTAACAAACTCTGTTTACAATAAATTTAGACATACTCCTAACTCACTACAATAAATTTATAGACATATTCCTAACTCACTACAATATATTTATAGACGTATTCCTAACTCACTACAATAAATTTATAGACGTGTTCCTAACTCACTACAATAAATTTATAGACGTATTCCTAACTCACTACAATAAATTTACAGACATATTCCTAAATCACTACAATAAATTTATAGACATATTTCTAACTTACTATAATAATCGCTTTCCGAAAATAGGAAAAGAAATAAAAACAAATTTAATTGACCTGTTCATGTAATACCTGTTTATGAAATACTGGGGGAATAAAAAAATTATCATAGTAAAAACAAAAACGCTGCATTAAGTAACAAAGTAAAGGAAATACGAAAACATATTTTAAAAAACTAAAATAGAAATCTTAAAAATTGTCTTAAAAAAAATTAAAAATTATAAGGGAGATAATTAAAAAATCAGGGATATTTTGAAAAAGTTAATTAGTGCCGTGCCTGACCGGTGTTCATTGCGAGCAAAGCACGCAGGCGGCTATGCGAACTTGAACTATGCGCTCAACAAATTAAGGACTTAATTAAAACAAGAATTTTCAAAAGAAAATTTTATAGCGTTATATTTGATGAAACAACGGATACCAGTTATAGTTCTCATACGGTAGTCGTATTAAGATATATTGATGTTAATACCTGTGCAATCCGTGAAGATTTTATTGATTTTGTAAACTGCTATACTGAAAATTATTCTAATTTTACTTATGAACCTGTATTAACTGGAGAATTGCTAGGAAACACAGTTGCAAACACATTTACAAAAATTGGCTTCAATTTAAAGGATTGTGTTGGTATAGGTACTAATGGATGTAGCCTTATGTTAGATGAAAACAACGGAGCAGTCACAAAATTACAGAAGGTCCTTCCAAATGCAATAAAAAGCCCATGTTACAACCATTCTTTAAACTTATCAATTTCCAAATGTTCGTTTGTGCGAGCTGTAATAAATACAATGAAAGAAGTAATATCATATTTTAAAGATTCGCCGAAGCAAAGTAACGTTCTTAAATAAATAAATAAGGGAATGCTTACAAGCTTATGCGAAACAAGATGGATTGAACGGCATGATTCTATGTTAAGTTTTAAATCTTGTTTAATAAATGTAGCAGAAACACTAAATTTGATATCTCAGTGAAATAAACGGGGTTCTTCAACAAAGGCCGCATTATAAAAAATGCAATATCTGAGCCCTTATTTGCAATAACACATTTGTTCATTAGCCAATGTGTTAAATACCACAGTCTCTATAAGTATGGCTCTTCAAAAAAAATTATTGGATAAGGAGTATGCAAAAACGATTTTCAAACATACCATAAAGATATTAAATAAAAGACGACAGAATGAAGAAAAATTAAATGCTATGTCTACATCAAAATTACTAGAAGACTAAAGTTTAAAAATCAAGATTCCACGAATTACAGGTAAACAAACTAATCGCATAAACCTCAATACCAATAATCCTCTAACTTACTATAGAGTCAATGTTTATTTACAGTTACTTGATAGCATACTTCTAGATTTACAGTTCAGATTTTCTGATGAAACCTTGAATTCTTTTGAACTAAATGTAGCAATTTCAAGAAATTTATTAAATAAAGCAAAAACAGAGTTAACAGCATCCATAACTAATATACTAAATTTTATGAAAGAACTGCCCAACATAGAGAATATCCAATTAATGAAAGTTGCTTCAGAATTTGTGCTTTTGGAGCTAAAATGGAAAGGCGCAATCAAAAAGCAACAAGACCTACCTGAATTAGCACTGAAAGCGTACAAGCAATGTGATGGTAATGTCTTCCCTTTAATTAAATGTATTTTGCAACTGCTTTGTACCCTTTCTGTTAGCGTTGTTTTGGGAGGACGGAGTTTCTCTGTTTTAAAAAGACTCAAAACTTTAGATTCATTATAGGACAAAAACGATTAAATGGCTTAGCTATGATGCATATCCATAGAGACTGCATCATAAATGTCATAAAATTATTGATAGTTTTGCATCATCAAAAACTAGAAATCTCATTTTTATATTCTAGTTTGTTAAATTTATAAAAGTCTTTGTTAAAAAAAAGAATATACTAAAGATATTATTTTGTCTTTTGTTGCAGATTAAAGACAGGGCCAGATTTACCTATAGGCAGACAAAACTGCAGCCTGTGCACCATGATTTTAGCGGGCTCAATTTTTAAATGTATTGTGGAAATAAAATCCGTCCCTTATTACAGACTTATCTTGAAAAAATCAAACGTTGAAAATATTTATTTTCAACGTTTGAATTGTTAGTATTTTGTCTCATAGCCATGCCATAATGATTTTATTCATCACATTTTTTTTTAGCCTTCTTTTCCTCTCAAGTTCCTTTTTCATCAGCAAGTTTTCCCCTTTATAATTAGCTTTAATGGTAGGAAGACGTTTTTGCATTTGACCAACACGTTATTATATTGTAATAAAATATATTTTATTATAAAATAATGTTTTATAAAGATCAGATTTTGATATCTCATCAAAAGATTTAGTATCTCTGTTGGAAGTTGTAATTGCATTCAATTCATGAAATTTTGAAAAACTGTGCTAATCCCATTTTTTTCAAAAATCAAGTTTTCAATATTGATACTTTTAATACAAGCAGAACATCTACCAATTATGGTTATTAAAAAAGTAAATAATTCATTTTCAATTATAAAACTGCATTCGAATGCAGTGGGAGGAGTTGCAAAACGTTCTTCAATTCTAAAGAAACGTTGAACCAGCCTGTTTTAGTCGATTGATTTAAAACTTTTTTTAATGACGTTTGATTTGTATTATCATTATTTGCTGTTACTTCTCCTCTGAAAACAAACTTTTTTGCAAGTGCATATTGAATTGCACTGTTTAATTTACATAAATTTTTTCTATATTTATCTCCATCATTATAAAGATAAATTTTGGGAAAAAAAAAATTTCAAAAACATTATCTAATGCAAAATTGGGCAAGTGCAAACCGAAACAAATGCGCCAAAGAAATGTTCAAAAAAGTCAAAATCTTTATAAATGAAGAATTCAGAACAAAAACAGTTTTTTGGAAAAAGAAAAAACGCAATTCTAACAGAAATATCAATAAAAAAATTTCTTTAGTAACCATATTTTATGCAAACCCAGTAAACATTCTTTAAAAGAATTCTTTAAATCAACTGTGATTTTACTCAATGGTTACATAGTGGACCTTTAGTGGCAGCCGCCAAAAATGGCTAGCCTTTATGATATATGTTGTAAAGTTTTCAGCCGGCCACTTATAGCAGATGCCACTAATGGCCAACTAAATGACCACGCTAAGGTTGTAATGATACTATTTACTTTCTTGTTTTTGGTTGTTTTTTTTTAATTTTTTTTTAGATGCCCCAAGAAGTCTTTTCGGTCTTATCACAGAGCACCCCGGATGAGCATTTAATAGAAAGTATGCCTCCTTCCTAACCGATGTCCAAAAACTTGCCCAGAAGTGGGTTTGAACCAAGAATCCTTTGTGTCTGAGGCAAATGCGTTACCACGGCGCCACATCTGCTCAATGATTTAATGGAAATAATATGGAAGATTTTATCTTTTAATTATATTGGAATTGTACATAGTATTTTAACAATCTTATTTTATTTTTAACCTGTGAAGCACACTCAGGGGTTCTGTAAAAAAATTGTGGTGACTTTAATCTTTTTTTGAGCTCCTGTCTATTTAATATAAATTCACCCTTTTTTATGTAAACGTTTCTTTGTAATTATATTTTCCTATTATATGAACAGCAAATATATAATAAAATATAATAAATATAATATAAATATATAATAAATATAATTAAAAAAAATATATTCTATGTAATGTTGTACAAGCATCTTAGATATAAATAGAGGTCCGAGGTTTGACGCCGGCTGTAGCCCAACAAGTAACATTGGAACGGAAGGAGGCGGGAACTTCTAGTTTAACGCTCTTCCGCGTTGCTTAGTGATAAGATCGTAAGGACTTCTGAGAGCACCTAAATAACCTTAAAAAAAAATAAAAAAAATAATGATGATAATAATAATAATAATAATAGCAATAATAATAATAATAATGATAATAATAATAACTGATGAGCTAAACTCCAACGAAACGCGGAAAGCGCCTACATAGAGTCACTGCAAATCCACATAAAAAATGTTTGCTGAGAAGTATTTTTAATTTAGATATTATTATATCATAAAATCCTATCAATAAAAATTGTAAATTTTTTTATTTAGAGGCAAATACTTCACATTAACATAAATGGTCAAAATTAAAAAAAAATAGTTGTTTAAATTAAGACAAACTTTTCAAACTTTTTATAAAAACTCCATTCATTTGCTTAAATTTAAAACAAAATGTCGACATAGACATTTTGTTTTAAGAGAAAAAATCTTTATTAACTAGGTATAACTAAAAATTCAATCAAGATATCTTAAAAGGCGAGATGCTTCTAGCTGGCTGAGCAAAATAGTTAAATCAAGAGTAAAAAACAAAAAAATCATAATAGAATATTGATACTCAGAGTTTTATGTGTTACCACAATTACCA